GCCCAAGGGGCGGCCCCCGCCCGCGATTGGCGACCCCGCGCCGCCGCCGCCCCCTCGCGCCGCCGCCGCGGGCGCCGCGAACCACGCGTGCTGCGTGCCGTAGCCCTCCCACGCCGACTGCGCGCGCACCGTCAGCGCCGCCGGCGCCGCGCCGCAGTTGCGCAGGCGCAGCGTCAGCGGCACCACGCACAGGGAGCGCCCCCTGAAGTCGTGAACCACCGCCTGCTGCGGCCCCTCCAGCTGCATCCGCACCGGGTTGAGCCGCTGCGCCGCGCACAGATCATAAAACGGCAGCAGCCCCACCCTGCCCCCGCCCACGTCGCCGCCCCCAGGGGAGCGCCAGATCAGCGCCAGGTCAACAGGCGGCTCAGCCACTACTGAATCCAATTCCTGGCGCGGCCCCGCGGCAGCCGCATCGCCGCCGCCGCCGCCGCCGCCGCCCGCGCGCGCCTGCGCCGCGACGTTGCTGCTGCTGCCCCCGCGGCTGCTCGCGCCCGCGCTCGCACCTGCGGCGGCGCCGTCTGCGAGAGGGGCCGACTCTGCTGTGGGATGCTGCAAGCGGTAAAAGTGGAGCAGCGGCCCCGACAGCGGCGCCTCCTCGGCTGCCGCAAACAGCTTCTGCGTCCCCTCCCGGCTGGAGGCGGCGGCGCCGCCGCCAGCGTCCTTGCCAGCCGCCGCCGCGCCGCGCGCCACGGGTGACAACAGCCGGAAGAACTGGCAGCTGCTGTCCCCGGGCTCCAGCCTCACGCCGGCGGCCAGGCTGCACGCCTCAAGCGCCGCGGCGGCCGTGCCTGCTGCTGCTGCTGCTGCTGCTGCTGCTGCTGCTGCTGCTGCAGGGCCCGCGTCCAGGATTGGGGCGACGCGCCAGCCGGCGTCGCCGCCGCGGGAGAGGCAGGTTAATTGGGATAGCTCAACGGGGGCGCTCTCCTGAGACAGATTGCGCACAAGCGTGGGTGGGTGCGCATGCGTTCTTGTATGCGTGTGGATGTGCTTGCGCTTGTGTGATGTGTGTGGGTTTGTGTGCGTGTGTGTGTATGTGTGCGCATGTGTGCCGACAGCGACAAGGAGCGCCAAAAAATGGAATAATCACCACCACAACAGAGGTGCAGCTCGATGCGCCTGCGAGCAACACAGCGTCCCATAACCGCAGGCACGTAATCGCAAGCAAAGATTCCGCAGTCTGCAGTCCGCAGTCCGCAGTCCGGCGCCCACCCTGTCGCAATCCAGGTCCAGCCTTAGCATGTACTGCTGCAGGTCCCCGCCGGACGGCGCCACGCGCGGCGCGACGCCCAGCAGGGGCGCAACCTCCAGCGCGTGCGCGGTGCGCAGGCTGCGGAAGCGCATCTGCAGCGGGACGGACGCCTGGTGGGAAGAGGGGGGCGTGGTATGAGGGCGTGCAGTGGGCATGTGGGGGGGCGCGCGGCTGGCAAGACACAGGATTGAGAGAAGCGTCGGGCCGGACCGCACAGTGGTGCATGGCGCCCTGGCAGGCGGTACGACCGGGTTGGGCGTAGTGCCCGCCAGGTCCGCCGCGCCACAGCTGGGTGCGACAAGACGACATCCGGCCCATCCCAGCTCGGGGGCAGCACTGGGTCGCAGGTGCTTGCAGCAGGCTGGCGTCAAGCGACTGAAAAACCACTCTGCAAGTCACAGGAAACCTGAACAGTGAAGGCACAATGTTAAGCCCTAGCGCACACCCCCTTTCCGCCCCAAGCCTCGCACCACAGGCTCGCAGTACCACACACACTGGAACTGCCACGCCCCCGGCGCCGCCGGCGCGTGCAGCCACAGCACGGCGCCCACGCCCTGCCCCGGCGCCAGCTCTAGGTCTCCATCCAAACCGCCGCCGCCGCCGCCGGTGCAGCCGTCGTCCCCATCGCCGCCCAAGTTGAACAGCAGAATTTCGCTCCCGTCCTTGCGGCGGCGCCCGGACGGCTCCAGCCGCTCGGGAGGGGCGCCTGGACGGCGGGGGAGGGGCGGGGGCGTTTGGAGGGCGGTGGCAGCGGTGGGCGGGGCGCGTCTGCGGGGGACCGCCGACTCGTCAGCGCCCCTGGGAATGCGGCGACAAACACACTAGAAGACGGAACACGAGGTCATCAGCTGCACCCGCCCGCCCCGTGCCACCACCCGCGCCCCAAGCCAATCAGCCCCAGTGTTAGATCCCCCGCCGCCCCACCTGGCCGCAGCATCCCCGCCGCGCCCGCGCCCGGGCTCGCGCCTGCCACCGCCGCCGCGCCCCTGCCGCCAGCGAGCGCCACGCCCGCGCCGGCGCCGACCGCCAGCCGCAGCGCGCGCGCCGGCAGGCGACCGATGTTTGTGATTGTGACGGGCACCCTCAGCAGCTCCCCGGCAAACGCGCGTGACGGCAGGGCCTCAGTGGCGATGCTGAGCCGCGGCATGCCGGGCAGAACGTGGAACAGCAGCCGCCGGCGGGGCGGGTAGTGCTTGCGCTGGCTGGGCCTGCGCGCGGGGCCCGCGCATGGGAGTGGGGGTGCGGGGCTGCTTCGGCGTGCGCGGCGCGACGGGCGGGCTGCGGCGCCGCAAGCCTGGACAACAAAGTTGAGCAGGGATGGGCCCCGACACAGCAGGGTGGATACACGAGCAGACGCAACCCCTGAACAAAAACACGTTCATATATCAGGGACTTGCACCTTTCAAAAGGGTACCAAACCTCCGCCCTCTGGCTGCTCGTCGCGGGCCCGAGCCTCTGGACGCAACGCGAACCCCTTCGAAGCGCTGCGGCTCACCTGTCGCCCTTGGGCCGCTTGCGGTGCCGCCCCTTGATCTCAAACAGCGTCCGCCCCTCCACGCCGCCCTCCACGACCCACTCAACCCCCGTCACCCGCAGCCAGCCCGCCGCCAGCGGCCGCAGCGTGAGCTTCTCGGCAAGAACTTCAGACGGGTGCAGCGTGAACTGCGCGGCCGTCGCCTGCACCGCGGCGCCGCCGCCGTCCGCGTCCGCAACCTGCCCGCCGCTCGACGCCCCCGGCGCCGCCCCTGCCGCGCCGCCCGCCGCCCCGTCGCCGCCTTCGCCAAACTTTTCCCGCTGGAATTCATACACCAGGCGGACGCCTGTCAGCCGCAGCTTGATGCCCAGGGGGTTGGTGAAGGTCACCTCCACCCCGAGGTCCTCGCCGGCCGCCACTGCGGTGAACTCCTCGCCGTCACGCACCTGTGTGGTTGTAAGATTATGGATGTGTGCGTGCGTGTGCGTGTGCGTGAAAGTGGGGGCGTGACGGTGGACAGTGATGGTGAACAAAAAGTCAAGAGAGAAAAAACGCGTGGAAGAGAGGTGTGTGCGCGCATGCACGCAACCGCAATCGCTATTACGCACACACGCGCGCTCACAGGGCTCGCGCAGCAGGGGCCCTCCCGCAGCCAACACGTGCGGCTTCGCAACTCTAACACAAACCCACAAGCTACGAAACCCTGCGACCCCCGACCACATGCACACCTGCTTGCCGCCCTCCAGCCAGTTGCTGCTGGGCATCTCCGCCCCCGCCGCCGCCGCCTCCAGCCCTGCCCACGCCGACGGCGGCAGCAACGCGGCCGCCGCGTTGCCGGCGCAGCGCTGGTCGGAGGCGTGGACGGTGACGTCATCGGCGGTCACCACGGGGACTTGGAGGCCCTGCAGGGGGCCCAATGCGGCGCCCTGCCCCAGGGCAAAGAGGAGGGCGCTTGTTACATGTGATGTTGGAGCGCTCGCAACATTGATTGGGTCGTTGCACTGCCCATGCATTGCCCACCACCGCGCTTGCGAGGGGCGCCCCAACAACTACAACACACCAGCAAATGGTAAGCATGACCCTGCGGCTGCTCTAAGCACCCGACGCCCCACTCCGCATATCAACACAGGCCAACCAGCCCGCACTTCCTCTCCCTCAACCACACACACGCACACATGCATGCAGGGGTCTCTCTCACACGCTCAATGCACGTGCACAAACCACGCACGCACACGCGCACACACACACACACACACACACACACACAGTGCCAGCCCCCACTCACCTGCTGCACCTGCAGCCGCTTGACCGCCTCCATGAACTGGGCGAGATAGTGCGCCTGGGCCGCCACCGGCCGGTGCCCGCTGCCCTCCAGCAGCGACCGCGCGTGCGCGGCCGCCCCCGCGAGGTCGCCGAACTCGGCGGCCTGCTTCGCGCCGATGTCGCTGATGTGCTCCGATATGAAGCGCCACGAGCGGCCGGGGTAGACGCCCTGGACCTGTCGAACAAGATGTAGGATATTTGTGGGATATTTGTGGGCAATCTATGGGACGATGCGGATGTGCGTCGCGTCGTGGCGTGGCGTTGAGGGGGAGTGCGCACGCCGTGCGGTTGTGAGCACGCAAGCGACGCGCCCGGGATGCTGCTGGAGCCAATATCCCCTCGCACCAAAGGGGGGGGACGGCCGAGCTCAGCAGGGGGCAAACTTGGCTCGTCTGCACAGTGCTCCACGCTCTGCTGATTCATTAAAAAAACCTACACAGACCCTGACCATCCCCAGTGCAGTGCTGGGGGACGCAACCCCTAGAA